AAAGCGACAAAAGGGAACACAACGAAGACAACAAAAAAGAAAACCAATGACCCAGAGAAGAATAAATTAATTAAAAAGAAAAATTTTTTAATTTGAGAAAGAAAGAAAAACCTTGAATAGATCAAGGCCTGATTTTTGAACTCTAGGCGTGTCCTCCAGTCACGTCTGATGGGGTGCCATGCTCTGGCCCCAGAGTCTATCCTTTGTACTCCCTCGGGAGCTCCCTCCTCTGCTCCCCCTTTGCTCTGTTGCACGCCTTTAGTGTTTTGCCTCGGTGTCGTGGGGTCAGTCTGGGCCAATCCCGACACTGTGTCTCCAGTGTTGCCCCCCGTAGGGCCATGGGTCAGCGAGGGATGGCGTGTCTCATAGTGGGATCAACCATATGGTCCACTCTGTGCATTGGCTGTTTGGAGCGGGGATATCATCCTCCAGGCTTGGTGGGCCAGGTTGTACTCTACTCTCTCTTCCTCCCTCTTCATTTCCTCCCGTGTGCTCTGAGCAGACATGTCTCTCTCCCCTAGCTGCAGCTCCAATGCCCTCCGCTAAAGTAAATTCTTCTGGTGGCGAGGAGCAGTTGTCCATGTAGCTGGTATGGGGGCCGAGCCCTCTGGCCCCTCCACTGGCTCTCCTCTCCATGCCGGCACGCTGCATTCGCATCCTCTCTCTGAATTAGTTTTGGAATGCAGTGTGTTAGAAAGGATGTATTTCATCTATGCTTCCAAATTTGGTGGATAAAAATGTTTCATCTTAATCAGAAATTATCTTTTTATCATTGTCGGATCCGTTGTAATGGCACCAATTTTATTGTTTAATTTGTTTAGTTATCTCTTCTGATTTTTCTATTTTATCAATCTGTCTAGTGGTTTGTCTATTTTATTGATGATTTCAAAGAACCAACTCTGGTTTTGTTGATTCTTTCTCCTGTTTTACCATTTTCTATTTTATTTTTTGCCCTGATCTTTCTTTCTTTCTTTTTGATAACTGTGGATTCTTTTGTGCTTCCTTTTCTACTTGTTTAAGTTATTAGATTAGGAGATTGTTTTGTACTTTACACTTTTATAATGTATACATTTGTTGTTATCAGTTTTCCTCTGAGTATTGATTTTGTAATGTTACATTTTGACATGCTATGTTTTAATTTTCATTTGATTGCAGACATTTTTTAAATTTCATATTTGACTTCAATTATGATTCAATCATTTATAAGCAGTCTACGTACTTATTCGTTTTGGCTAGCGTATTCTGTTGTTGGTTCCTGGCTTCATAATGTTATGGCAAAAATAAATGCTCTTTACTGTTTCAATCTTTTAAAATTGGATGAGACTTTCCCCCTCAGCATCTAGTCAATGAACAAGCATTAAGAATAATCGTGAGGATGTCCCAGGAGTAGAGAGTGATTTTGGTTGTTGTACAAAGGGTCACAATGAATTAGAAGTGACTGGATATCACCTAACACCAATAGCAACGTATTGTCTATTCTGGAAAACAATTCCTGTGTTCTAGAAAAGAATGTGCATTATTTTGTACTGGGTAGAGTACTCTATGCATTTATGTTAGGTCCAATTGTTTACAATTCTATGTAAGTTCCCAGGGTGCTTGTTGATCTTTATAGCTGTTTTGCCTAAATTTGAAAGTGCCATGTCCTCCCATCTTCTTGTGCAGTCATCTGTTTCTTTCCTTTTGATCAATATTTATTTTATGTATTCATTGTTTATCATTTCATATATTTTTTACCCTGTTTACAGTTCCTACATGATCATCAAACTACTACTAGAATGTTCACACCTGTCACTGCAAGTTTCAAACCCAGGGGAGTTCCCTGAGCATTTGCTTTAGGCCGGGGTGGGGGTGGGGGGGCTCTCTGGAGTTTCATAGATTTTTATGATTGTTATAGCCTCTAGTTTGTTTGGCCCTCTCATCTCTGATAACACACCTTTATTCAGTCTATTTCTGGGCATTTATTGATATCATTGGGTTCTAGGTGTCCAATAAATTTAATGTTCAGTACCTTAATTGAATCTTATACAGTTTGGGGGTGGGGGAGAATTTGTTCATTTTTCCTGGTTCTTTCTTTTGTCTTTGCAGAAGCAGTCAATTATTTTATGTGACTCTTGTAGTTGAAGTCTTTAACTCCCACCCAAAAACCTTTCCCTGCAAGGGTCTAGTAAGAAGGTAGGGCAATATAGTGATAATATTGACAGGTGAGTAATTTTGAACAGAAGTCCCTGGCATGACCCTGCTGTAAATAAAAGAAGCTCTCTGAAAAGCAGGATGAGAGATCTTATTACCAGCAAGATCCTGGAGTGAAGCATATCCTCTGAACCAGAGATGCTTTTGCCCTGAACCTCCTGGATCCAGGGAACAGCTGTAATGTCAGAGGAGTAGCAGCAGAACCAGGAGCCTGTGGATTAAACAAAGTGGTGGATTTCCTACTCTGTGGAACAAGTAAAGCCGAGTGTTTTTGTGCAGGAGGCTGGCTTGTGGAGTGGGGCATCTCTGGGCAATTAAATGGGGAATCCAGGCTTGCTGGTTCATGGAAGTGGAGTCTGGCACCATTGGGTTGAGTAGGGTGCCTGTGGGCATTTAATTCTGGGAGCTGGGTTTGCTGACCGACAGAGCTTGAGCTTACGGCCTTCGGGTTGAGGCTTCCAGCAGAGGGGTAGACTCCATTGGACATTTATTAGTAAACCTGAAATAATCTGGTAACATGTCCTGATAAACTATCATTCTGAGCATTTCTCACTGGCATTGCAATCTATTCGCCTCCTTAAAAACTCTTTAATCATGATTTTTTGTTTTAAATGCTGTGTTGTCCTTACAATGCATATTAGAACCCAGAGAAGTAAATTAGAGAACATGAATTTAGACAGCACAACATTGATTCTTGATATTGTCTGTTATTTTGCAAGGATTCAGAGAAACGGCAATTGACAAAGAAGTTTCGCTTTCCTGTGGTGATGGTGTGGGACTCCGGATGCCTTTCCCTCGTGAGCAGCCCTGAGCATCTGCTCCCGTTTACCTTGCCCCTGTTCGTCTTCCTTTTCCCTCTAACTGAGGTGCCTTGCTATCCTACTAGTCCCAATGCTGCCCGTCCTGAGCCTCAGCAGGATTCAAGTACTCCCATGCAGCTCCAAGATCTCTCTTTCCCCTCCTCTAATTGTACTGCAGAAGAAACCCCACCAACAGCTTCTAACACCTTAAGATGATAAAGCTCTTGTACGCTGTGCCATCCGCTCGCTGCCAACTCATAGGACAAGGTAGAACCGCCCTTATGAATTTCTGAGATTTCAAATTTTTACAGAAGTAGGAAATCCCTTCTTACCCATTGGGCAGCTAACAGCAAGGTCAGTAGTTCAATCCACGGTGGTTCCACAGGAGAAAGATGGGGCTTTCTACTGCCTCTAAGAGATACCATCTTGAAGAGCCACAGGGACAAGTTGACCCTGTTTTATAGAGTCTTTATGAGTCAGGATCTAGTCTGTGGCCGTGAATGAGTGAAAAAGAAAAGGGTTAGAACTTCCTTAAAATGCTTCCGGTTGCTGCTGCAGGATCAGCGTGTTACCCGGGCTTATCCCAAAATGACTGTGGTAAGTAAGTGCTCTGATAGTAGCAGATAAGATATCCATGCTTCTACGCTGACCCCAACTTTCCTATACCTCAGGTCCTCTCAGTAGTCCTGAGATCTCAGGCTATCCTTGTTTATTTTTCATTGTTCAGTAGGGCAATTGCCAGTGGAGTCCACTCATTTTTCCATCTTGCCCCCCTTTCCTAACTGAAACTCAATAGTACCTACCATCTATCTGATGATATATAGGTAGATTAGAATATATGGTTTATAAGACTATGACCCATGGCTATACTGTAATGAATTATGGGAGGTACATTATGTAACAGGTGACAGCAGTCAGTGCAAACAACCACAATTCCAACTGTATCCCCAAGGCTCACAACAGTTGTCCATATGTCGCATGTACCATCTGCTAGGGGAGAAAAGAGAGCTTAGTCATTACGCTATCTGATCTAACCATGTAAAGTTCTTAGCAGAGGACATAGACTATACTACTTATGCTAGCCCCTATAATTGATTAATAACCCAATATTTTGTATATCTGCTCAACATGTGGCCTTTCTCATATACATAACTATGTGCTTCTACTGAGTATCAAATGCCAATTATTGGACCCAAAAGAATATTTCAACTCAAAGTGGATAAGAGCTATATGTGTAATGCTAAAGATTGCTTCATAAATAGTAAACTAATGATTGGAACGGTATATTCAGTGTTAGTCATTGATATATGAGCTGTAATCCATACATTTTCACCCCTTTATGACAGAAATGCAGCTGATAATTATTTTCTTGATAGAAATACATGCATTTAGTGTCCCTGTAAATACAGCATCATGATTCAATGGTGTCCAATTACAGAGGAATCACTTCAGTTTCTTTCATACTTCCACTTCCATTATTCGGGTGGCAGGTCTCCTGGATAATGTATCAAATACCACGGGGTTCTATCTTGGCCAGATGGCCTCATTCGCCAACAATTCAAATTAAGGTGACGTAGCCTTAGAGTGAAGAAAATGAATTGATTTGACAGTGCTCTATTAAATCAATTTAGGCTACCATAAAAGTAGCTGTAAAAGGATTTTCAGTACTTTATGTCTGCTAGAATTCTATGACTAGTACCTCTTGAGAAAATTGCAGTTTCCTTTATATCAATATAGAAAGCTGTGCCGTGTTCCTTTCCTCCCCACCCCCTACCACTTTCACTTACAAAGGCCTGCCCCTAGAAAAACCCAACAAAATATCAAACTTTTCATTTCTGGGATCCCAAAAATGAAATTTCTGAGTAACTGTGGTGTTTTATACTAATTTATTTTACTTTGAATGGCTTTTATGAAATACTTTTGAATTATTCTTTTTACCTTCCACCACATACATTATTTTATTTCACAGTAGATCTAAGAGTTTCTGGTTGGAGTAGTGGTCAAGAACTCAGCACCTAAATTAAAGGCAGGACATTTCAGCCTCCAGATCCAAGTACCAGGAGAAGTATTAATTTGCTCAAATAATGACATCATATCTGGAACGGCAGCTGCATTTAGAGTCATCACCTGGTTAAGTTTACAATAATCCACTGTCATTCTCCAGGATCCATCTGTCTTTTTTACAGGCCAAATAGGCGAGTTAAATGGGGATGTGGTAGGAATCATCACCCCTGCATCTTTCAAGTCTTTGATGGTGGCACTGATCTCTGCAATCCCTCCAGGAATGCGGTACTGCTTTTGGTTTACTGTTTTCATAGGCAATGGCAATTCTAATGGTGTCCACTTGGCCTTTCCTACCATGATAGCTCTTATTCCACATTTCAGGGATCCAATATGGGGGTTCCGCCAGTTACTAAGTATGTCTATTTCAAGGAGGCATTCTGGAACTGGGGAAATATCCACAAGATGTGTTCGGAGGCCCACTGGACCCACAGTGGGGCAGACCTGAGCTAAAACTTTACTTTCATAAGCTCCCACTCTGACTGGAAGACTTTCAAAACACTTTGGGTCTCCTGGAACTAGTATCAGTTCCGAGCCAGTGTCCAGTAATTCCCCAAAAGTTTGATTATTTCCTTTCCCCAATGTACAGTCTTGTGAAAAGCCGCAGGTCCCTTTGGGGAAGGCTAGAAGAAAGACTAACAGTATAAAACTTTGGTGATGTATCAGGGTCCTCCTTCAAAGGGACCTGGCCGTCCCCTCATTCATGAGGTTGTGGGCATGTAAACTGGCTCAGGTCTGCTCATCTGATCTAACATTCTTCCACCTGTATAGATCACATAAATATTTAGTAGGTTTCCCATGTATTTCACTCCTAAGGACATCGTGGCTAAGTAGCCAGTGCCATAAGTCCACACGAGACAGGTTGCTTCAATTACTATGGAAACCTTGTTGCCTATTCTAACCACATCCACGCTGTCTCTGTTAATTCAGTATTGACACCTGTCCTCAACCACCATGGGGACCAATCAGCCCCATTGTGGGCAAATGTCAGTTTGCTTAGGGCAGTACCCACTGTTAATCCTGGTGCACATAAAATAGCAATTACAGGAGTCTTAAGAGATGCTGGGGCCCACTTCACAAACTTGTTCCTTATGGTTGTGGTGAAGGGTATGTCCTCAGGACACCCCCTTTTTGGGTCTATGGGAGTACCCTGATAGATCCATTCCAACATACCAATTTCTCTAAGCTTTTGGATGACTTCCTCTACAGTGTACCATGGTAGGTCAGGTACTTCAAGTTGGTCCAATCTAGGTCATCTGCCAGTCCATGCTTCATTGAACCAACCAAATAAAGAATTAGATTCTCTCTTAGCCTCTCTCGCAGAGACATTGAAAGAAGAGTCTGTGCTTAGGGGTCCCACATCCAGAAACTTAGACCGGTCTAATATTACATTTCGTCCACCAGTATCCAACACCCTTAGTAACCATTCCCAGGGATATTCCCCAGGCTTCTGCTTGTATGTATTTGAAAACTTGAACATATCTTTGAGAGTATAGTGCGCTTCTTCTTGGGTAATCATCTCAATCTCACCTTTAGGAACTTTCTGAGCATTAATTTTATTTACAGATCTAGAGGAAAAATGGGTAGTGAGGGCGTTTCTCTGTTGCTCTGAGCAATATCTTGTAAGGCATCTCCCTCTGGCAATGCTACAGATGCAGCCCCACCTGGCATTTCAGCTTGAACAGTTTCGTTAATCTGCTCGGGTATAGGTTGTTTTATTAATAGTGGATTAATACCTTCAGCAGGGAGGAGTTGATCTATTGACTGGGGTGGCTCAATCGTTTCTAGGGGCTCAATATCCTCCTCTTCTGGATCATCAGCCCATATGTTCCCAGCCCGTGTTTCAGGGTCCCAACTTTTTCCAATCAGTGCCCTCACTTTAATAACAGACACTGCT